GATTGACATTTGCTCTTTAATTGCAATAAATATCTTCACAAGCTCATTTGCTTTGAATGTTTCTTGGACAGAAGTATAACCTATCTTTCTTTAAGTGAAGTTACTTTGTTCTTTCTTAAGCACAAAACAAGTCCTGTCTGGGTGTGGTACCAGTGTGTGGGGAGCAGTATAAGGATAGGATGTAGGAGGGTGAATATGTTGCAAATATTATGTATACAAATATGTAAATGGAAAAATGAGACCTGTTGAAACTATCCCAGGAATGGGGGAGGGGGATAAAGAGAGTGATGGAGGGGGTGAATTCAACTATGATATATTGTAAGAACTTTTCTAAATGTTACAATGCATCTCCAGTAAAATAATTTATTTATTTAATTATATTGAATAAATATTCTTTTTTTTTTTCATTTTTCTTTTATTATTCATATGTGCATACAAGGCTTGGTTCATTTCTCCCCCCTGCCCCCACCCCCTCCCTTACCACCCACTCCACCCCCTCCCACTCCCCACCTCAATACCCAGCAGAAACTATTTTGCCCTTGTCTCTAATTTTGTTGTAGAGAGAGTATAAGCAATAATAGGAAGGAACAAGGGGTTTTGCTGGTTGAGATAAGGATAGCTATACAGGGCATTGACTCACATTGATTTCCTGTGCTGTGGGTGTTACCTTCTAGGTTAATTCTTTTTGATCTAACCTTTTCTCTAGTTCCTGGTCCCCTTTTCCTATTGGCCTCAGTGGCTTTAAGGTATCTGCTTTAGTTTCTCTGCGTTAAGGGCAACAAATGCTAGCTAGTTTTTTAGGTGTCTTACCTATCCTCACCCCTCCCTTGTGTGCTCTTGCTTTTATCATGCGCTCATAGTCCAATCCCCTTGTTGTGTTTGCCCTTGATCTAATGTCCACATATGAGGGAGAACATACGATTTTTGGTCTTTTGGGCCAGGCTAACCTCACTCAGAATGATGTTCTCCAATTCCATCCATTTACCAGTGAATGATAACATTTCGTTCTTCTTCATGGCTGCATAAAATTCCATTGTGTATAGATACCACATTTTCTTAATCCATTTGTCAGTGCTGGGGCATCTTGGCTGTTTCCATAACTTGGCTATTGTGAATAGTGCCGCAATAAACATGGATGTGCAGGTGCCCCTCTGGAGTAACAGTCTTTTGGGTATATCCCCAAGAGTGGTATTGCTGGATCAAATGGTAGATCGATGTGCAGCTTTTTAAGTAGTGTCCAAATTTTTTTCCAGAGTGATTGTACTAGTCTACATTCCCACCAACAGTGTAAGAGGGTTCCTTTTTCCCCGCATCCTCGCCAACACCTGTTGGTGGTGGTGTTGCTGATGATGGCTATTCTAACAGGGGTGAGGTGGAATCTTAGTGTGGTTTTAATTTGCATTTCCTTTATTGCTAGAGATGGTGAGCATTTTTTCATGTGTTTTCTGGCCATTTGAATTTCTTCTTTTGAGAAAGTTCTGTTTAGTTCACATGCCCATTTCTTTATTGGTTCATTAGTTTTGGGAGAATTTAGTTTTTTAAGTTCCCTGTATATTCTGGTTATCAGTCCTTTGATGTATAATTGGCAAATATTTTCTCCCACTCTGTGGGTGTTCTCTTCAGTTTAGAGACCATTTCTTTTGATGTACAGAAGCTTTTTAGTTTTATGAGGTCCCATTTATCTATGCTATCTCTTAGTTGCTGTGCTGCTGGGGTTTCATTGAGAAAGTTCTTACCTATACCTACTAACTCCAGAGTATTTCCTACTCTTTCTTGTATCAACTTAAGAGTTTGGGGTCTGATATTAAGATCCTTGAATAAATATTCTTAAATTTAAAAAGTAACAGATGTGTTGTGCTAGCTATATTTTTGTAATGCAATTTCACATAATTATGCAATTTTTTAAATAAAAAGATTTCCACAAGTGACCTAAATTCATTTTATGCACCACCACACTTTTTGGGATATCTGCGTGGTCAAGATATTATCAAGGTTTGAAATCAGAGAAGTGTGACTTAGAAAACTGGATCTTCCTCTTCTTTTGTAATCTTGACAAATCACCAATACATTATATATGAAATTGTCAGGAGGGATAATTGAGAAAAAGCATGTTTGGGTTTGACATTCATTAAATGTTGGTTTGTCTGTGAAATACATTCATATCTGTGAAATGCATCTGAGGTGGGGTAGACGTAGGAAAAGTTTGGGGCTTGTGTAGGTTGCCTGGGGATGGGCCAGACCACCCTCACCTGCCCAGGAACCACCCATGCCACTCCCTACTTGTTCATTATTGCGTTGGAACCTCCTAGGCCTGCCATCCCATGGGGTAGTTGTTAGGTCGTTGCTGATGGGAAGGCCAAATTGGAGCCAAATAACAAAGCAAGCAGGCTTTAAGCAGGCTTTATTGAGAGCGTGCTCTCGGGCAAGGTTCACCATCCTCAAAGAGCAGGGCCGGAGAAGTCGCGCTGGAGAAATGGCAGCCCAGTTTTTATATCCTGGGTGAAGTCAAGAGCTTAAGTATTATGGGGCATTGGGATAGGTCGAGGTTTGGTGGGGAGGAGCTCAGGGTAATATGGGTCAGGACCCATTGCCTGCCAGCAGGAGTTGCCATGGTAATCATGAAGGGAAGGAGGGGATGGAGTGGAAAATGAGCAGAGAGTCCCTGATCACCATGGGGTGGCTGCCCACTGGCCAAACATCCCAGACTCTTTGGTACAGGGGCACAGAATCAGTTCTGGCTACTTCCTGCTGAAAGGGGGTGAAGTTAGGGGCTAGGGATGTTTTGGGCCTCTTCACCAGTACAGCCGGACCCCATGGGGAGGAGCTGGTAGTCATGAATCCTGGAGCATCATCTGGTTGAATGTTACCCGAGTTAATTGCCACATGAGTGAAATCGATCTGCCAATCTTTACTGGGCTGGCTACCATGGAGTTGTGGAGGGATTGGCGGAGATGGAGTCCGCCATGGGGGTTTGCTTGACAGCAAACAGAGCAGGCCTCCTGGGCCTGATGGATGGTGGTTTGGAGGCCCCTTGGGTGAAACAAGGGTTCCAGGAAGAGAGAAGGGCCTTGGCTGGGGAGACCTAGTATCCCTTAGAGGCTAGAAAGTTAAGGAGGTTGGCTGTTCCCGTTTTAGAGTCCTGCTGGAAGGGGGAGCACAGAAGGAGGTCATCGACATATTGTAGAAGTGTACTGGGTTTCTGAAATAGGAAGTTGGGGTCTACAGGGATATCGGTTAGGGTCCATAAGAGAAATGTGGATGGGTGAGTGGTGTATGAAATTGGAGGGATGTCCAGAGTGTGGATGGGCGAGTGGTGTGTAGCCACAACCGGGACTGAGATGTCCCAGACAATGGGGTTGAACAGAAGAGGAAAGGTGGGTGGAGCAGGTCCAGGAGGCGAAGGGGTTAGGTGGCCGGCAGAGGCCAGAAGGAGTGAGTGGGAAGCTAGAGGTTCTGGTAGGTGGGGAGGGATGGTTATGGAGGCCCCAAGCTTTGTTACAATATCTTGACCTAGAAGTGGGGCACGGCAGGATGGGATGATAAGGAAAGAGTGTGGAAATATACCTCTAGCAGTGCAAGGAAGGGGCAGAGTTTTGTATGGGCAGAAGGGAAAGCCGTCAATTCCCATAACAGAGACTGATGAAGGAACTGTTAAACCCGAGTGGGCAGGCTGCAGAGAATAGGTAGTCCCCATGTCCAAGAGGAAGGAGATGGACTTACCCACTACCTGGAGTATGACCCTGGGCTCGGAGAGGGTGATTGGGGTCCCCGAGTCAAGGCATTGTCAATCTTCTGCCAGTCCAAGAAAGTCAGGGATGTGGATAGCTGGTGGGGCTGACCCTCCACAAGGAGCCGTAGGGGATAAGCCCTGTCCAGGACAATCTGATCCCCAGTGACCCACCTGTTTGTATTTTGGGCAGGGTTTAGTTGGAGGTCTCAGGTTGGGGCACTGGCGAGCCCAGTGGCTTTTCTCACCACATTTGAAGCAGGCCCCCAGAGGGGCTGATGGGAGGTTTTAGGTTTCTCCTTTGACTCGGGGCTATAATCCAGCTGGCCGCAGGGCTGCCATCAAAGCTTGGGTTTGGAGGGCCACCTTTTGTTGGAGGTGTTTTTTGGTGGGTTGATTCTGCTGCCTCTTTTTGGGCATTAAAACTTTAAATGCCATTTTTATCAGATTCTGTATAGGGGTTTGAGGGCCATTTTTGGCCTTTTTTAGTTTAGCTCTAATATCTGGTGTGGACTGAGATATAAAATGTCTAGCCAGGATTAGTGCCCCAGCAGGGGAAGTAGGGTCTAATTGGGTATATTGGGTGAGGGCCTCCTGGAGGCGGTTAAGAAAAAGGGTCAGGAGGCTGTGAGGCCTCCACTGTGTAGGTCTTTGGCATATCTCTATGTCAGTGTCCCCACCTGGGCTGACAACCCAGGGCTGCATGGGGCAGAGGGTTCCCCTTATACATGTTCTCTCCCTGAGTGCTGGGTTTTGAGGAAGCCTCGGAGAGTGGCCCTTCCTGCATGCATCCCAAATATTTTCCAAGCACCCCCTGATGTTTTCAGGGAGGGGGCAGAGAAGAGGATGTCTCCCTATGGCAAGAGTGGAGCTGGGCCCTGGTGGTGTGCTGGGACCTGGCCAGGCAGGCTCCTGAAGGAAGTGCACTCCACTGAGCCCTGTAGGAGGAGCTGTTACCCCAGCACAGGGGTCCACATGTGCAGTGGCCAGGGCAACTGCAGCTTTTGGCAAGTCCAATGAGTTGGAGGAGCCTGGGTGTGGAGGAGAGACAGGAGCCCCTAGCCTGTAGTACCCTGTTCCCATAATCACTGAGGATGACAGCCATGTGGAGGGGCCCTGGAGCCAGTGACCCTGCACAGTACCCAGACCTGGGCTTCAGGTAGCTTGCTTAAGGGCCTTGTGTCCTGCCAGATCTCCTCTCTGTTCCTCTGCCTGGTAATGGAGTACAGTAATGACAGCTTCCAGAAGGTCATTGAGGAGAAGAGAAAGGAACATGGACTCGGACATGGACATGTCCTCACCTCTTGGAGAGGACAAAGGAGAGGGGGTGGGGAAGGGTGGCGTGAGCGAGTGTAGGAGGCTATTGGGGATGTAGGAGGGCAGGGAGTAGGTGGAGCAGAGGGTGTGGGAGGCAAGGCCAAAGGAGATGGCTACTTGGGTGGGGGAGGGGGAGGGCAAGGGAAAGCTGGATGTGACAATGAGGGTGGCTGTGGTTGGTGGTGCAGGAGGTGCAAGGAATTCAGTAGATTCAGATAAAGGAGAAGAGTTGGGGTATGGGGGAGAGGACCCAGAAGAATTGGGTGTTAGAAGGATCTGGGAAGGGGAACATTGGAGGCACAGAGAGGGGCAAGAGTGCAGTTCTCAGAAGGCCTGTACATATGGGACCTCAGACCATCTATGGGTTTGATGGCAAAAAATTGTCAAGGTCAGTGAGGATATTAAAATCTGAAGTGCCCTGTGGAGGCCATTATGAGTTGTTGTTTAAGGTGTATTGTGGCCATGCCATGGTGCAGTAGAAAATGAGCTGCTTGCGGTGGAGGTCTGGAGAGAGTCCCAAATTTTGAAGTTTGAGAGGAGACAGGACAAGGGAGTCCCTGAGGCCGGCTTGGATTGGGAGGACCCCATCCCCGAATTGTCAGAGAGTCTCAACCTTTAGAGAAGCATCCCTCACTAAAAGAGGAGACCCGGTTTGGAGGAGGCAGCCTGGACAGGGGAGACATCTCTCCGAATGCCCAGGTGTGAGGAGAAGCAGAGGGGCTGATCCTGGCGTGGCCACAACTAGGACAGGGGCCCCAAGGAGGAACAAAACAGGGGAGGATACTCACCCAAGCCGGAGCCGGAGCGTCGATCCGGAGAGGAGGAAGGGCCTCAAGCCAGGGCCTGGCCCAGGGCCCGGACTGTCTGGAGTCTGGTGAGGCTCGCTTCCTCCAGGGTTTCGGCACCAAATGTTAGGTTGATGCTGATGGGAAGGCCAAATTGGAGCCAAATAACAAAGCAAGCAGGCTTTAAGCAGGCTTTATTGAGAGCATGCTCTCAGGCGAGGTTCACCGTCCCCAAAGAGCAGGGCCGGAGAAGTCCAGCCGGAGAAATGGCAGCCCAGTTTTTATATCCTGGGTGAAGTCAAGAGCTTAAGGTATTATGGGGCATCAGGATAGGTCGAGGTTTGGTGGGGAGGAGCTCGGGGTAATATGGGTCAGGACCCATTGCCTGCCAGCAGGAGTTGCCATGGTAATCGTGAAGGGAAGGAGGGGATGGAGTGGAAAGTGAGCAGAGAGTCCCTGATCACCATGGGGTGGCTGCCCACCGGCCAAACAGTGAGAGGGACTAAACTCTGTTATGGCAGACAAAACCATGTCCCATCCCCCCCCCGTTGGTATAGATAAGATGAACAAAGCAGCAGGACATGACTCAGCTCAGACACGATTGCAGGGGAAACGTGCAGGATGTGAGCTACGTGCAGGATGTGAGCTACGTGCAGGATGTGAGCTACGTGCAGGACGTGTTCTGCCTGCCTGCCCAATGCAGATAAACGAAGTATGCTTGTTACTGTTCTGTTGCTCAATAGGCTGAAATAGCGGGAGATGTTACAAAATCATTGGTTAAGAAATGCGCGGGTTTTTCGTTGTAACGTTGTAACGGCTGGAAATGGACTATATAAGCTTTCCCCTAAGAAGACTGGGGGTCGAGCTTTCCTGACTGGTCCTGCGTGTCCATACTGGAGCTCGACCCTGGCTAGCCAGTTAAATAAACTCTGCTTTGGTAATTACCTTCTCGGCTGGCTTTCTGTCTCTCAAGGGAATAGGATTCCCTTCCCTAACATTTGGAGGCCCCAGCGAGATTTCATTTTCTCGAGAGACAGAACTTAGCCGTGAGAAAGCAGGGGTGATCCCAAGTCCTAGGCATTGGGAGGGGATCCAAGACCCTCATTTGGAGGAACTTGAGTGTTCCATTTGGGCCTCGGCAGGGATTCAGCCAATCCCCAGGGAGTTCTATTCTGAGAATTTCATTAGGAGGACCGCAGGGTCCTGCCGGGAGAGGTTCTCATCTCATTTGGGCTCGAGCATTTTAGGAATCCTGGCGCCAGGTGAAGAACTAATTGAGCTAGTCGACCAACCACCCATCAAGTGGACGCCCTTCGGCCTGATATCCAAGCCGGATGGTGAGGAGGTTGAATGGGGTGCGCACCAGTGTGAGAGAAGGACCGGTCCGAGCGAGTGCTGGAGAGTGTTGTGTGTGTGTGGAATTATTGTCGCCTTTACTCTTTTTGTTCTATCCCTCTTGGTGGTTGAGTCTCCTTCCACAATGGGACAGGGACAAACAACCCCAAAGTCTTTGATCCTTTCTCACTTTTCAGAAGTTAAAGAAAGAGCCTTAAATGCGGGTCTAGTCATCAAGAAAGGTAAGTTCAACACTCTTTGTTCTGCAGAATGGCCCACTTTCGGAGTCGGATGGCCCACTCAAGGTTCCCTCTCTCTAGACTTGATCACTAAGGTTAAGGCAGTTATTTTCCGGCCTGGCAAACGAGGCCATCCAGATCAAGTCCCTTACATTATGGTTTGGGAGGATCTGGCGAGGAACCCCCCCCCCTTGGTTAACAGCTTTTCTGGCTCATCCCTCCAGTTCGGCTCCCAGGGCTAAAACCCCAGTCACTCCCGCCTTGGTCATAAAGGAGGAGGAAAAACCTCCTCTTCCCGGTCCCCCAGAACAGGACACCTCCCTTACCATCTCTGGTTTTACCAGAGAGTTCCCCCCTTTACCCATCCCTCGCAGGGGCAGAAGAAGATTGGCCGCCTCCATACGTGACTCCCCCTGTCCAAGCCAGTGCCCCGGAGGAGGAAATTTCCTCATCCTCCTCAACAGGACTGGCAGCAGGAGGAGGAATAGGTCGAAGACTTCGCCCCCAAGGGGTTCGGGAAAGGGAGGGGGAAGATGGGCCCTCCTCATCAACCCAGGGGGAGGAAACTGTCCCTACACTTCCAGTCCGGATGGTAGGCCAAGGGGGACCGGGAGGGGGGCAACAGTTTCAGTACTGGCCCTTCTCCTCCAGTGATCTATATAACTGGAGGACGCAGAACCCGCCCTTTTCGGAAGATCCCAAGTGTCTCATAGATCTCTTGGAGTCCATCATGCATACGCACCGTCCCACTTGGGATGACTGTCATCAGCTGCTCAATATCCTTTTTACGATGGAGGAACGAGAGCGCATCCTCAACGAAGCAAGGAAGAACGTCTTGGGGGATAATGGGAGACCCACAACTCTCCAACCGGCCATAGACGAGGCTTTTCCCCTACGCCGCCCTGATTGGGATTTCGGGACCACAGAAGGTAGGGAGCGTCTTCGGATCTACCGCCAGACTCTTATGGCCGGTCTCCGAGCGGCCGCTAGAAGGCCCACCAATTTTGCAAAAGTGAAAGCAGTCGTTCAAGGGGAAAACAAAAGCCCGGCCGGCTTCTTAGAGCACCTCTATGAGGCATACTGTCAGTACACCCCTATTGACCCTGAGGTGGAGCTCCACTGGTCTGCTGTGGTGCTGTCATTTATTAATCAGGCAGCTCCAGACATTAGGAGAAAACTCAATAAACAGGAGAACTTAGGGGAAATGACCATTAGAGAGATGCTACAAATAGCAGAGAAGGTCTTTACCGCTAGGGAAACTCCGGAACAAAGGGAGGAAAGGAGGAGAAAGGAAGACAGGGAAGCCCAGGAGAAATCGAGAAAGGAGGACAGGGAGTTCCAGGCTAAGGAAAACCGAAAGCAACAAAGAGAACTGGCCTGTATTTTCCTAGCGGGTGTCTGAGACCCGCCCCAGGGAGGGGGCCACGCCAGGACCCCGGATAAGGAACACTGTGTTTACTGTAAGGAAACTGGGCATTGGAAAAGAGAATGTCCTAAGTTAAAGAGGAAGAAGAGGGTTTGAAAGGAGACCGGGGGACAGAAGGGAAAGGGAGCAAGTAGTAGAGCAGGCCAGAGTCCTCCTAGCCGGAGAAGAGGACTGAAGGAGACGGGGCTCGGACCCCCTCCCCGAGTCTTGGGTAACAATACATGTGGAGGGGAAGCCGATGGGATTCATGGTGGATACCGGCGCCCAGTATTCGGTCTTAAACAAGGCACATGGACCTTTGAACAAGGAACGAACAAGTGTCGTTCAGGGGGCCACCGGTACACAGTTATGTACATGGACTACCAAAAGAAGGGTAAACTTAGGAAAACACCAGGTCACACACTCCTTCCTGGTTGTTCCTGAGAGCCCCGCCCCCCTGCTCGGTCGGGACCTACTCACCAAAATTGGGGCCCATATCCATTTTGAATCAGACGGAATAATTGTGACTGATCGAGAGGGGAGCCCAATACATGTCCTGACCCTATCATTGGTTGACGAACATCGCCTGTTTGAGAGTCAGCCGGAGTCAGGAGGGGACATGGCCCAATGGGTAAAAAGATTTCCCATGGCCTGGGCAGAGACTGCAGGAATTGGGCTCGCCAAACACCTCCCTCCCGTAGTTATACAATTGAAGGCTTCCGCTCTTCCCATTCGGGTAAAACAGTATCCTATGCCCGAGGAGGCTCGAAGAGGCATAGCCCCTCATATCTGCAGGCTATTAAAGGAAGGAGTACTGCGGCCTTGTCAGTCCACCTGGAATACACCTCTGCTCCCCATCCAAAAGCCGGGAGGCAAGGATTATAGGCCCGTGCAAGACCTGCACAAGGTCAACGAATGGACGGAGGACATTCATCCCACCGTTCCGAATCCTTATACTTTGCTCAGCCACCTACCCCCCTCACAGGTGTGGTATACAACCCTTGATCTGAAAGATGCTTTCTTCAGCATTCCATTGTCAGAAATTAGCCAGCCGCTATTTGCTTTCGAGTGGCACGAGGATGGGGGCCAATCTGGACAGCTTACTTGGACCAGACTGCCGCAAGGATTTAAAAATTCTCCCACCCTGTTTAATGAGGCCCTGAGCCAGGACCTGGAACACTTTCGCCAAAGCCACCCACGAGTCACTCTATTGCAGTATGTTGATGATTTACTGTTAGCGGCAGAAACCCGAGAGGAATGCAACGAGGCTACCGAACACTTGCTAACGGAATTAGGTGAGCTGGGATATCGGGCGAGTGCCAAGAAAACCCACATCTGTAAAAGGTCAGTGACATATCTGGGTTATCGGATCGCAGATGGGGCAAGATGGCTTACTGATGCCATGAAACAGACTATTTTGGCTATCCCATCCCCCACATCCACTAGGGGAGTAAGAGAATTCCTAGGCTCCGCAGGATTCTGTAGACTCTGGATTCCGGGATTTGCAGAGATAGCCAGACCCTTATATGAGGCCACCAAAGAGGCTCCGAATTGGAGATGGGGGGAAAAGAACAACAGGCCTTTGACCAGCTGAAGAATGCTCTTTTACAGGCCCCTGCCTTAGCCTTGCCAGATCCCACAAGACCATTCACTCTATTTGTAGATGAAAGAAAAGGGGTAGCCAAAGGAGTCCTGACCCAACAACTGGGCCCCTGGAAGAGACCTGTGGCATACCTTTCCAGAAAATTAGATGCAGTAGCAGCGGGATGGCCCCCTTGCCTTCGTATCATAGCGGCCATCGCCATGCTAGTGAGAGAAGCTGATAAATTAACTTTTGGACAAGCCCTTTGGGTAACGGCCCCTCACCCGGTGGAGGGAATCCTTAAACAACCCCCTGGGAAATGGATGACAAATGCCAGGCTCACCCACTACCAGGGGCTCTTGTTGGATTCCCCTTGAATCACATTCACAGATCCCGTAACCCTGAATCCTGCCACCCTGTTGCCTAATCCAGAACTACAGACACCTGTCCATGACTGCAAAGAATTCCTCTCTGAAGTTACACAGGTACGGGATGACTTAAAGGATACCCCCCTGTCTAGCTGTGAATTAAACTGGTACACGGATGGAAGCAGCTTTGTCCAAGATGGAGTCCGAAGAGCAGGGGCAGCTGTAGTCGACCAAGAAGGAAATACGGTGTGGAGCAGCGCCCTCCCACCCGGAACCTCAGCCCAAAAAGCGGAATTAATTGCCTTGGCAGAGGCCCTGGAGAGGGCAAAAGGGAAACGAGTCAATATCTACACCGATAGTCGCTATGCTTTTGGTACCATCCATGTCTACGGGACCATCTATCGCGAAAGGGGGTTCCGCACAGCAGAAGGGAAGAATCTGAAGAACCTGGCCGAGGTCCAGCGTCTATTAATGGCAGTGGAAAAACCGAAGGCAGTGGCAGTGATGTATGTCCCAAGCCACCAGTCTGCCAAGACACCGGAAGCAGTCGGCAACAACAGAGCAGATCAGGAAGCGAAGAGAGCAGCAATGGTGAGTCCTTCCATGGTCACGGCTGTAGACGTGCCTGTCCCAGAGCTCCCTTCGCTACCCCCCGACCAGAATACTCCACGGAGGATTTCACCTGGATAAGGTCCCACTCTCCCATTAGAGAAGGGGAAAACGGATGGAGAAGCGACCTGGAAGGCAAGTTAATTCTGCCCGAAAAACTCGGACGGTTCCTGTTGATTAACTTGCATAAGTCCACCCATTTGGGGCGGAGAAAATTGTTAGACCTGCTGACATCCACGCAGCTCCGATTTCCGAACCAGACCGTAGCAGTCTGCCAAATTGTGGAAGATTGTGCCAGCTGCACAGTCATGAAACCAGGACGAAGGGAGGGGCACCATACAGGTACTCGGGAACGAGGGAGGACTCCAGGAAGAAGTTGGGAAGTGGATTTTACTGAGGTAAAACCAGGAAAGTTTGGATATAAATATTTGCTGGTATTCATAGACACCTTTTCGGGCTGAGTAGAGGTTTTTCCTACAAAGAAAGAGACAAGTCAGGTAGTAGCAAAGGCTTTGCTAGAGGAAATCATACCCAAATACGGGGTGCCCGAGGCAATTGGGTCAGATAATGGCCCGGCTTTTGTTAGTAAAGTCCTGAAGGGACTAGCCCAAGCTATGGGGGCAAATTGGAAGTTACATTGTGAATATAACCCCCAGAGCTCAGGGCAAGTAGAAAGGATGAATAGGACACTAAAGGAGACTCTAGTCAAATTGGCCCTGGAGACTGGCGGTGATTGGGTGACGCTCCTTCCCTTGGCCATCTTCCAAGTCCGAAACTCCCCATATGTCCATGGGCTAACTCCCTTTGAGATTCTGTATGGGGCTCCACCCCCCATTATTCAAAGGACCTTAAGCCCGAGACTAGATGATCTGGCCCCAAATTATCGGATTACGTTACAGGCTCTAGCTAAAGTACAACAACAAATATGGCCCCTAATTCAAGTGTATCATACTGCAGAGAGGACCCCGAACACGGAACATGGCATAGTCCCGGGGGATATGGTATGGGTTAAAAGACATCAGTCCAAAACCCTAGAACCTAGATGGAAAGGACCTTATGTTGTACTGTTTACTACCCCTACCGCCCTCAAGGTCGACGGGATTGCAGCATGGGTACACCATTCCCATGTAAGACGGGCACACCCTCCGGAGGAAAAACAGGAAAATTGGTCTGCACGAAAGCATCCCACAAACCCACTCAAGCTCCGGCTGGTGCGGGACCCTCCTGGAAGCGAAGGCGATGTCCCCTATTCCCCACAGCCATCGTAGGTATCCTACTGGTAATCCTCCAGGGTGTGACCGGAAACAACTCTCATCGACCATACAAACAGACCTGGGTTTTGAGGAGCGGAGACACTCACGAAGAATGGAACCTAACCTCGCACCCGGCAGCCGCTCAATGGACTTGGTGGCCTGAACTGTATGTAGATCTAGAAATGGTATTGGGCACTTTCTACAACCTCCCTCAAAACCAGCAAGAGCATTATATGAGAAAAAGGGCGTTGGGAGATACATCCTTGCTCCTTGACCGCCAGGTCCTCCGTTCCAATGGGTTTTTCGCCTGCCCAGGATATGAGTCCAGCACATGGCGCCGGGATTGTGGGGGTATAAAAAGCTTTTATTGTGCCCATTGGAAATGTGTGGTGACCAATGATGGTGAATGGAAATGGGCAGTGACCCCAGACTTGATTACTATGCAATTTGTTAAGCCCTACAACCAGTGGCAGGTGGAGCAAGGGTCGAATTTAGTAAAGATCTCCTTTACAGAGAAGGGAAAGAAGGAGCGGAGATGGGTAAGCGGACTGACATGGGGTCTCCTGCCCTACAAACGGCCATGGAGAGGGGTCCTATTCCAAATATTGTTGCGCCTTGAGCCTATCTCTAACCCTATAGGACCTAATCCTGTGTTAAAACCTAATCCTAAGTCCAAACCAGAGTTGTCGGAGACCAAGTTGGTTCCGCGCACAACCCAAAACCCCCAGACACTCCAAAGTATTGCTCCTAGCAACTCCCAAAGTTCCAAGATGATGCTTCCAGGGCCCACCACCACCACCATTCCCTTCACACCACCACCTAACCCCTTAGAAACCTTATTGCTTGCTACATTTAAGACCTTGAATAGGACAGCCCCTAATCTAACTGAAGCTTGCTGGCTCTGCTACAGTCCATCGCCCCCTTTTTACGAGGCCATAGGGGTTAACTCCTCCTTTGCAGTTAACGCCACTGTTCCTACAACAAATTGGGAAGCCTGACCCGCCGGCCTAACCATGGCTCAGGTCAGTGGCCGAGGAACTTGTGTAGGAAAGGTCCCAAGGAGGGATAAAAGGCTATGTGCCACTATAAATGAGCACCCAAGCTGGAATACCTCCCATTGGATAACTCCGGATGGAGTTGCCTGGTGGACATGCTCACTAACTGGGCTGACTCCCCATTTGGCTGGATCAGTTTTTAACACCTCCCGGGAGTTTTGTTTGATGGTAATAGTGGTACCCAGGATCCTATACCACCCAGCCGAACATCTCATTCTTTATTGGTCTGATCGCCCTCGGACGAAAAGAGAGCCCATTACCACATTAACCATCGCCACCCTATTCGGGATAGGTCTGGCCGGGGCAGGCATCGGCATAGCCTCCCTGGTCACCCAACAATCAGGCCTCACCTCCCTTAGGGCAGCCATCGATGAAGACCTAGACTGCATTGAAAAATCCATTAGTCACCTTGAAAAGTCTCTAACTTCCTTGTCTGAAGTGGTCCTCCAGAATCGGAGAGGGCTCGACCTACTGTTCCTTAAGAATGGAGGCCTCTGTGCAACTCTGGGAGAGGAATGTTGCTTTTACGATGACCACACCGGGGTCATTCGTGACTCTGTGTCTAAACTTTGGGAAGGTATAGAGCAACGGAAGAAGGAGAGGGAAGCAAAAGAAGGGTGGTTTGAATCTTGGTTTAACCAGTCCCCTTGGTTTGTTACCCTTCTCTCTGCACTAGCAGGACCAATAATAGTCCTTCTATTACTGGCCACCGCAGGGCCCTGGATTCTAAACCAACTTACGGCTTTTGTCAAAGGTCGACTTAACACCATCAAACTTTTGGTCCTCCGCCAACAGTATCAAGCTCTTCATCCCCTCGAGGATGATTCCTCATTTTAGGTCCAAGAAAAGGGGGGAATGAGAGGGACTAAACTCTGTTATGGCAGACAAAACCATGCCCCATCCCCCACCCCGTTGGTATAGATAAGATGAACAAAGCAGCAGGACATAACTCAGCTCAGACACGATTGCAGGGGAAACATACAGGATGTGAGCTACGTGCAGGATGTGAGCTACGTGCAGGATGTGAGCTACGTGCAGGACGTGTTCTGCCTGCCTGCCCAATGCAGATAAACGAAGTATGCTTGTTACTGTTCTGTTGCTCAATAGGCTGAAATAGCGGGAGATGTTACAAAATCATTGGTTAAGAAATGCGCGGGTTTTTCGTTGTAACGTTGTAACGGCTGGAAATGGACTATATAAGCTTTCCCCTAAGAAGACTGGGGGTCAAGCTTTCCTGACTGGTCCTGCGTGTCCATACTGGAGCTCGACCCTGGCTAGCCAGTTAAATAAACTCTGCTTTGGTAATTACCTTCTCGGCTGGCTTTCTGTCTCTCAAGGGAATAGGATTCCCTTCCCTAACAACAGTAGTATAAGTTTTAAAGGCACTTAAAGAAAAGCACACTCTCTCAGCAAACAGACTCACCTGTGCCCACCGTGCCCTCTTCTTTCTGCTTCTCTTTCCTCACCTGGCAGGACAGGTGACCTCTTCTCTCAGTAAAGTTATACTACCTCACCCCATTCATGTGCTCTGCTTGGATTTTTCCATTTGCAGCAAATAACCAGGATCTTGGTGACAGACTGCAATGAGCACCATTAACATTTGGCAAAGCTAGCCAGGAAAAACTGACAGGTGAGATGCCAAAATGCTACCTCTGTCAATCTTTATTTTAATCCATCTTTCTCTGTCCTCTGGTACCATGCATCGCCACCTGATGCTTCAGAATCAAACACCACTTACAGCTTGGGTGGTAGAGGAAACTCACGCTGGGACATTCACCTGATACTCAGGGCTTGTTTTAATCCCAGGGATAGACAGACTACACTCTGATTGGCAGAAAACAACAATGGCTGGCAGGACTCACCAGCTCCTTGGAGTGCCCTATGGCACAGGGTTCATGTTTGGGTTCCAAGTTCCTTCCCTGAGGGATGGACCATGTTAAAGCTAGTTGCCCCTTTCCTGCCCTCTAACCCTCTAACCAGCAGTTTTAGAGGGTGAATGGAGCTACAACCACCTGGGCTACTGGAGTATGAGCCATCATCTTCTCGGCTGGCTACAGTGATGGGGCATTGGCCTCAGCAGGCTACAGCTCAGTCCCATCCTGAGACTAAAAGTTCCAGACCAGATATTCAGTGGCCGCTTCCAAAGCGAGCTTTCACACAGATAGCTGTGGCTGTGGCACATGGACTGTGTGGCGCCAGCAAAGGCATGTTAAAGCTGTCATCCCTGGCAGCTGCTGCCCTGCACCCCAAGCCAGGGCTGCTTTTTCCTGTGGCTTCCATTGATCCATAGAGCTCTCTCTCCTCCTCTAAACCACACCCTTCCCCACATTTTGGGCTGTTTCTCCACCACTTTTCCACCATTCTTCCTTCTATCTCTCCCTAAAGGGCAGTTTTGAAAAGACAAATGGGAAGCACACCTTGGCCAGCCCAGTCCAGTAACAGCTTTTTCTTAAGAAAAATCCTGCTGGAGACCGGGGATGGGTAACCACACACAGCTTCCTGGGACCCCGTTGGGATGGAAAAAAAAAAAAAAAACGCAGCGTGGCTTCCCGGCTGCTCACTAGGGGAAAATTACACCCATGGCTAGTTATGATGCCCAGGCAAGATTATTCAGTTGGCCACTTGGGGTAATTGCACCCACGTACACAACTGCCATGCACGGTTTCCTAGATGGGCGGTCCCAACAGCCGTATGGCCAAGCCCGCTTTTTTCTCAACCCACCGCTGGGGTGGACAAAAGTCTCTGCCTCTTGCGGTCATGTTGCCAGAGCTCCAGAGCAGCTACTACAGAGACACAGCAGCTCCACCAACAGTGGGGAAGCCAGGAGAGCTCAGGACACCGGGGACAAGGTGGATGAGGTGCCACCTCTAGTGGCCAGGGTTCCATGCCTAACCAAACTGCCTTCTCCTTATCCTCTGCCTCTTCAATCTCTGACCCATTCTCTTCTCCACCTACCTACAGATGGGATTGATAAGATTAAATCCTATATTCTAGAGATGGTCCCTAAGTTTCCTTTCTTTAGGAAAAATAATAGAGGCTGACAAATTCATACAATGGAATACCTGCCTATCTTAGCCAGAGATTCTAAATTCTATTCAAAGGTAAAATCTAGATTAACATATAGGTTACATTTGTGTAGCTATAGTGGCAATTGTTGCTGTCATTAAATGTTAAATCCATTTAAATTCTCTAAAGCATGTTTTCTATATTAAAAACAGTGCCATTTAAGGATTTAACATTGATCACCCATAAAGTGTATCTATAATTAGAAAAAACATTGTAACATTTAAAGTTCATTTACTCTAAAGGCAAAATTAAAAGGAAGAAATGTATTGATACAGTGTCATCTTTTTATACCAGACTTTCATGCTAATTAATACTGTCCATCATAATTATTATTCTAAAATGCAATGTGCAATAAACCTTTAAAAACATTCTAATCTTAACTGTGCTCTGTTGATAAAATTAGGCCTACAGCCCAAAGGTTAAAAAATGGATTTTTATATATGGACATTTTAGATAGACAATTTAATTAGAGGTTTTATTCTTAACAATTAATTATTTTGCTTTAAAATTAATAAAATTTTGTTCTCCATAGCTCAAAGTAATATGCCAGATTTTAAACGTGTTTAAGGTTCTTTTCCAAACTGTAGATCTGTAAATGACTGGGTTCTACAGGGTTTAGATTCTTGACTTTCTAGGTAATAACAAAACTCATTTATAAGAAAATCAAAGATCTAATTATAAACACCTGAAGTAAAATAAACAATAGCAAAATCTTTTAAATCCCACCTTAGCTTGCTTAAATGTATCTGTTTTTTCATTAGCATGCCTAACACATGACACCTGTCTCTCAGGGGGAGATGTCTTTTATTCCTGTAACAGACTGCTCTTTTAAACCTGTATGTTGCATGTAACATGTCTTTGTGTTCCATTTGAAAGACCCTTTAGAGAGACCATATGGTCACAGGAAATGCCACCATAAAGTAGCTGCCATGTGTTCAGTGCCATCTTGCTACTCCCTAGGAATAGAAACCTCACGGGTGATGCCATCTTTCCTTATTCTAGGAAAATTATAAGTAATTTGTTGTTAAAATTCTCTAGATTAATATAATAATATAATTTCTATATTTTAATAGTTGGGTCAACATTCAGGATCAACATCCCATCAAAGAACCCTCATGCTGGGGTGGATGAGGCTGGCCCTTAGGGGAATGGTTGACTCTAAATCAGGGGCCCCTGCTACTTGCTGTCTCCACAGATGGTGATGGAATCCAGGTTGGTGGGTCCTGTTTTAAGTCTTGCTAGGGATACTGGGGATGCTCCAAGGACCTAGAAGTTCTCAGATTCTCTTTCCTAAGGGCAACTACCCACCTCGCTTTTCCTCTCTCTCTCCAGCCATCATAGGGAATCCCATTCAGGAGCCCTTGTTCAGGAGCAGAGGGGTGAATGGATTCTCTCCCTTTTCTTTCCCTCTTCCTCTTTCCACCAGCCAGCATAGGAAAAGCCAATATATTCTTTTGGCTGTATCCTTAAGTGTTGGGAGATGCTTTGATCCTGCTAATAAAAATAAGATGACTAGTTCTCTTCATAACCCATTTAAGATTATTTACTATTCTTTACATCCTGCTTAAATTAGTCTCATGCCAGACCCAAAAACATAAGGTATTTTTCCAATAACACTAAAGAAACTAAATTTAAATTAAGTGAAAATTTCTTAAGTAGGTCTAATATTCCTAATGCCTTATCTGTGTATCTAAATGTCATAAATCGTTTATAGTGTTAAAATTGTATACATGTGAATAGCTACACTTCTTTTACCTAAAGGTACCTTCTAATTAATAAAGTCTTTGACTTTTCTGCTCTTTATGACAAATGCCAAAAGTTCTGCTATTTAAGCCTGACATCTGTTTATCAGTTAAGCATTGGTTTACCTGACATTT